TTCCCGTGCAATCTTGGACAAATTACTTAGGCCACGTCTGCATGCAAGCCGTGGTCTGCAGACGTTATGTCGGCATACAGCCACCAACATTTGTATAGCACTCAGGCGCATGCCTGCTTGCATCGACACTGTGCCTGCGCACCATGAGTGCGGGTGTCGATGTGAGGCAGGTATCCCAGTGTGCCCCATGCTGCCGTTCAGCGCAGTGCCTCTGGGGACACTCTCACAATGTGTTGTGGGGTAGAAGTAACTGGCCCTGAGGTCTCTGGGAACTACGGGTCAAGTTCCCAGCATGCAACGGTCTCCATCTCATAACGCCATCCATATCGCATCATTTTCACGCCTTTAAAAAAAAATCCCCTGGATCCATGCAGCACTTTTCAGTGTCTGCCATCTCAGACAGAAGCATGGAGCCCACAAAGCTCTGCGCTAGTCTCATGAATGCGGCAAGCACAGGATGCACGATTCTCCTGTGTTTGCAGACTTGCAGGATGTACTGGAATAACAGGAACAAAACTGTTTCTTCAAGGACAGTTTGATGGACATAGGGAAAGAACAATTCGAGGGTGGTGGTATTCATGGAGCAGAGCTCCACTTCTGGGCTCAAGAAACAAGCACTGATTGGTGGGATTGCATCGTAATGTGGTTGCAGAACTTTCGCATGTGGAAGACCACATTCCTGGATCTGTGTGCCGAGCAAGCCCCAGCCCTCCAGCGTGTGGACACCAGAATGAGTTGCACTGACGGTTGAGAAGCAAGTGGCGGTCACACTCTGAAAGCTGACACAGCTGTATTGCTATCTATCAGGGGAGATGATTTTGAAGCTGGAAAATCCACAGTGGGGGCTGTTAATTGTCTCCTGCTCTGCAGAATTGTGACTCTCTGTGGTGTGCAGGATATAGTGGATGCATTCTCAGCAATGAGATTTTCCAAACTGCGGTGGGGCGCAAGCCCACATTGCCCAAAAGACTACTTTTCAATGGTTCGGCAAGTGTTGGAGGATGACTGGAGATGCTTCACTGTTATCAATGGGGGCTGGTCAGGGAAGGTGTGTGACAGGTGCATCTTTAAGAACACAGGATTGTTCAGAAAGCTGCAGCAGGGGTATTCGTTCCCAACTGGCGGATTGCGACTGGTGATATGGAAATGCCAATAGTAATTCTGGGCAACCCAGCCTACCCCTTGATGCCCTAGCTCATGAAGTCGTACTCTAGTTACCGTGACAGCACCAAGGGAAGGTTCAGCTGGTGGCCCAGCAGTGCAGCGTGACCGTTGAATGTACTTTTGGTAGATTGAAGTGACACTGGTGATGTTTACTCACTAGATTGGATCTCAGTGAGGAAAATATCCCACTGGTTATAGCCACCTACTATCTGTGAGGCAAGGGGGGCAAAGCTGCTCTCAGGGTGGAGGGCGGGAGTGGAGCGACTGGCTGCTGGTGGAGCTGTGCGGCTGAGGAAGGCTTTGAGAGAGCAGTGTAACGGGCAGCCACAGGACCGTTTGGAGCCGGGGAGCTCGGGGTGCTGCTCAGAATTGTGTAGTGTTTGCTCCACATTGATAAATATGGCTGGTATTTTCCTGAAGCTATTCATTATGTGGCGCTTGGTATGCGTTTACAAGTACTGTTTGCTTTGGCTACTGCTGGGCATTCTGCAATATTTGTTGTGAACTAATAAAGAGAATTTGATTCTCCAAAGCGAAACTTGATTGTGTTGAAAAAACACTGCGGAAAATCAATGTGCAAACCCCCCACAGGCAATGTCATACACATTTTTAACACAACGAGGTGAAAAATCTGAAGGAGAAAGGAAATCAATATATGTCCCTTTGAGCACACAGGTGTAGTCCATCGTGGCTACGCGTGCACTAACCCACGAGAACCATAGTTGGTGTATGTCGATCTGTAGCTTTCCTTGCTGTCCCTTGGTGTGGAGTAGTGAGGGTACAGATACGCCCTGTTGTGCTGCAGGATATGTTTAGGGACGTGAGGTGGAGCAGCCGTGGAGTTCTCCGAGGACTGCAGAGGTGGAGAATCTGGAATTTTTGGATCTGTAGGTCAAACAAGGTCTGCAGCATTTGTTTGACCCATTATTTCCTGGTGCATTTCCCTCTTGTGCTGTGGGGGCTCCTGGGCCTTCTTCCTGTCCCCTTTCTCTGTGCTGTTAGTCCTGTTTGCCCTCCATGCCCCCTCTGTTCATGGTCCGATGTAGCACTGGCTTTATGGGATCTTGGGGAACATGTTCTTCCTCATTGGGGTCAGGGATCTGCAACTTGCAGAGGGGGCAGCCCTGAAGGCCACCACTCCAGCAGCTGCTGATAAAACCCGAGGTGTACTGTTGGTTTCCAATCACAATGGAAAAGCGGGAGTTTCAGAACTCCTTTCCCTTATTGCCATGAGCACCCTGCAGACGTGCTTATTGAACACCTCAGTACAGCTCTCTAACCCCGGCTGTGATGGGCATGGCCCAGTGCGGGGGGAAGTGGGGATTTTCTGCTGCGTGAATCTTTTTGGTGCCTATTCCATGGGTATGAGCACAGGGCAATGGCAGTGAGTGCGGGCACTCTTTTCTGCGGGCGGTGTGCCTGAGAGTCACAAAGGCACAGAGAATACGTCTGCTCCCAGTGTCCCGAAGCCACCTGGGCCCATATGCCGCTGGCCTGTTTACTGCAATGGTGCCAGCCAAACTGATTGCAGAGTATCTCCATGAATGTGTCATTGAGCTCTCTAGGTGGGTACAAGGGACATCCCTGTGTACGTAAACAGAGTGCGCTGCATCCCTCTCTTCCCCCACTGCCTAACCCAACAGGGAAAGGAAAGACGCCAGCTCTCCCTCTGTTTGCTGTGCTGCTACCTCTTCTCACCCGAGGAACAGTCCATACCTTTGTCTGGTTAACTTGGGGACAGGCAGGGCATCCTTTTGACGTGTAAACGTTGAAAGGAGAAATGCATGCACACACCTGAGTTCCCTTCCCCTTCATCAGGCTCACTCGCCTGGCAAGATTGGGGCAGTCTCAAGCAGGTCCTGGTTCGTGGCATGGCTAGAGTCCCCCACCACATCTTCCAACCCCTTCTTCCTCCTCTCTGGTCACAGCTAGGGTCTTTGTCCCGGGCTCCTCTGAGGGATCCACGGTGGTCTGTAGGGTGCTGGTGCGGTCTTCACCAAGTATGGTTTGCAGCTTCTTGTACAAGCAGCAGGTCTGTGGCGAAGCCCTAGATCAATTGTTGCACTCCCTGGTCTCCTGAGATCCCTGGCAAAATTCCTTCCCTTTCACATGGCACTGCTGCTGATCCCTGTCATACCTTTTTGCCTGCATCCCCCCTACAGTCTGTTCAGAGATGTCCCCGTTTCTACAGCTGGTCCGTAGCTGTGCGTGCACAGCCTCTTCCTACTGGCTCAGGAGATCAGTATTTCCTGTCTGCAGCAGGCAGACGTGCATCTACTGCATGGAGCCGGCATGGTCGGCTGGGCAGTTGCACACAGTTAAGGGTGAGTTGCTAGGTGTGATCACCAGGTGAGTAATCAGGAGGAGGTGTTAAAACTCCCAATTTGTTTTTGAAATACGTGGGGGAGGGTGACCTTCAGGTTTCTGTGACCCCGGGGCATTTTAAAATTGTGACCAGAGCAATCCCAGTCCCAGGGAATGAGGCATTGTGGGACAGCTGCTAGAGGACTCATTCAGTTTCTACTTTCACACAGTGTTGATCTCAGTATGTCAAGCCTGGCTCTATGCCATTCGGGGAGGTGGTTTTAGTTCAGTGCTGTAATAGGGCACTTCCATTGGCCAGAGACAAATTTGAGTGTAGTCACATGTACATATGTTGTCGCAAGAAGACTTATGTCAGCCTGTGTAGTGGAGATATGGCCATACTCACTCAAGCCTAGGTTCTTCATCTCACAAATGGGGATACTTCCCTCCCTCATAGTGGTGCTGTGACGTACTCAGATGCTACAAAGAATACTAAACAAATCCTAAATAAAATCCGAAGGGAGCTCATCTATCTGTGTAGATCAGTACCTCCCCAGTGAAACATTAGTAGTGCCAGGAGCACAACACCCCTGTCCTTTTGGCGAGATGCAAAACCGAGATTCTGATCACTTTGCTTCATTTCAGATTCCATGGCACTCTTGAGGTGTTAACCCCAATGTCTCAGCCAAATTCCAACTCTGGTAATTACATTCTGCCTCCTTAAATTCCCTTCACAGTTTCAATTAGACATGGTAGTGTTCACTTCCTGCTCTAATGATGATTGTGGTATTGCTGGGTGGTGGTAAACAGCTACAGGGAATCATCACAAAGGTGTTGGTGTTTCAGTCGTGAATGAAGTGACAGGGCGGGTGTCTGTGTCCTGTGTAGTGCTGAGTGTATCAGTGCTAATTGTACTCGGAGGCCATCTTCTCCCCCAAACTGGATACGTTGCAAGCCATTTGTTTCAAGTTTCCCTTTTTGGCATTACTCTTAAAGAAAACGTATTGCTAACGAATCTTTCCTTCTGATGCCTTGTACTGAACAGGCAAGTTAGGTTCTTGTCTAATCCCCAGATGTTTAATGCCGCTAGGGCTTCCTGTTTCTAAGAGGTGCTGTGCTGGGTTTGTCACCGGGACATGTAGCAAGGCTGGGGCTCTTGTCTGAGACGAGCCCCAAAGACTCCCGCTGCCCTGTGCTCCCCATGTGCTGTGCTGCACCCTTGGCAGGTAGCTGGCATGTGGAAAATGAAGTGGTCTGGCTGAGAAGGACTCACCACCTTTGCTGTCAGCCTAGCAGAAGGGTAGAGTAGGCAGTGTTGGAATGTCTGCTGCTGGGGGAGGGGTCGGGTTTCTTACATTGGTGAGGGGGCAGAGGACATCCCCTCAAAGGGTTAATGATCCCAAAGACTGTTGAACCAGTAGAGCACTCTGTGTCTCAGTCTTTGGCAAATGATGACAGATTTGTGCTTGCAGTCACATTCTCAATCTTTAGATTGCTCTGCCTTTCTCTAATTATCCCCCTTTGACTTTTAGATGGCTTTCGAAAGGTTGTCCACATTGAGCAGGGTGGTTTGGTGAAGCCAGAGAAGGACGATACTGAATTTCAACATCCGTACTTCATCCGAGGCCAGGAGCAGTTCCTGGAGAATATCAAGAGGAAAGTAACCAGCGTAAGTGTACCTCAGCGATATTCCAGGCCAGCCCGTGGGTGAACCACTGTGAAACTGAGGAGGTTACTGTCTCCTCTTCAGTCAGCAAAGCAGCCGCATGCTCTGGGTATAAAGGGGATTCTGGCACTGTAGTTTTCATTCTCTGCCAAGTGGGTTTTCTAGTTGACTCCTGCATCACATTTCATTGAGTCCCAAGCTGCAGTGCCAATCGGCCAATCAGTGTGTGGTAGATATTTAGTGGGCCAATTTCTCTAATTGCTCTCTTAGCATCTGGCTTGGGATACCCTGGAGACAACTGGGAATTTGGCCTGTAACATGGAAGCCAAATTCACTTTGACTTGGCAAATAGGGAGCCAGCTTCACCTCCAGATTTATCTCCTTTTCTTTTAAAGTACTGCCTATGTAGGTTTGGCCTAATGGAGGTTATGGCAAACTTTCCTCTCCCAGGGGGAGATGTCAGAGAGCAGCTGAACCTTTGCTGTAGAACAGGAAGGAGCAACACAGTCATTGGCTGAACTGCAGTCTTCACTTCGACCGTTACATAAGAACGGCCATACTGAGTCAGACCAAAGGTCCATCTAGCCCAGTGTCCTGTCTGCTGACAGTGGCCAGTGCCAGGTGCCCCAGAGGGAATGAACAGAACAGGGAATCAAGTGATCCATCCCCTGTCACCTATTCCCAGCTTCTGGCAGACAGAGGCTGGGGACACCATCCCTGTCCGTCTTGGCTAATAGCTGTTAATGGACCTATCCTCCATGAACTTATCTAGTTCTTTTTTTGAACCCTGTTATAGTCTTGGCCTTCAAAACATCCTCTGGAAAAGAGTTCCACAATTTGACTGTGCGTTGTGAGGAAAAAATACTTCCTTTTGTTTGCTTTAAACCTGCTGCCTACTAATTTCATTTGGTGACCCCTAGTTCTTGAGTTATGACAAGTAAATAACACGTCCTTATTTACCTTCTCAACATCAGTCATGATTTTATAGACCTCTATCATAACCCCCCTTAGTTGTCTCTTTTCCAAGCTGAAAAATCCCAGTCTTTTTAACCGCTCCTCATATGGCAGCCGTTCCATACCACTAATCATTTTTGTTGTCCTTTTCTGAACCTTTTCCAATTCCAATGCATCTTTTTTGAGATGGGGCGACCACATCCACACACAGTATTCAAGATGTGGGCGTGCCATGGATTTATACAGAGGCAATATATTTTCTGTCTGGTTCTCTATCCCTCTCCTAATGGTTCTTAATATTCTGTTTGCTTTTTTGACTGCCGCTGCATATTGAGTGGATGTTTTCAGAGAACTATCCACAATGACTCCAAGATGTTTCTTGAGTGGTAACAGCTAATTTAGACCCCATCATTTTATATGTAGAGTTGGGATTATGTTTTCCATTGTGCATTACTTTGCATTTATCAGCATTGAATTTCGTCTGCCATTATGTTGCCCAGTCACCCAGTTTTGTGAGACCTTTTTGTAGCTCTTCGCAGTCTGCCTGGGACTTAACTATCTTGAGTAGTTTTGTATCATCTGCAAATTTTGCCACCTCACTGTTTACCCCTTTTTCCATATCGTTTATGAATATGTTGAATAGGACTGGGCCCAGTACAGAAAAAAAAAAATCAGTTATAAGGCCTTGGAAGATGAAACTCCATATGTTTATCCTTAATATGATGGTTCTGGTAGTAATGGGAGCAGCAGGAAACACAGGTGTTTAAGATATGCTCTAGGTGTGTTAAACTTGTTAACCTCCACAGGGAGTCCCAAATACTAATTGCTCCACTTTTCCTTTAAACTGGGGTAAACCCACACTCCAAAACACAGCTCACAACTGCCTTCATTTTTAATAGCAGTATAGCCAGGCTAGGGTAGGGATCTCACACGCAGTACTCAGTTCTGAGCTGAGCAGACCCAACCTCCTCCCACAGTGGAACATTGCATGCTGGGATGTGGGTTCTGCCCAGGTCAAATCTGTATTCAAGATAAAGGCAACCATGGCCTGAACTGGACTTGTGGGCTGCACTTTGGCAGCCCCTGTGCTGCCAGGTATAAAATCGTATTGCTGCCTCATCGGTGGATTTGAGGAATCCTATTCAGAAACGAAAAGATCTAAGGGCACTTCAAGTCCTGCCTTTTGTGTTTGCTACTTAGCTGTCTTGTTGGGAGTGGATTTAGTTCTGTCTCAGTAAAAAAGCATTTTATAGAAGCATTTTGATATTTTAGGTGCCAAACATTTCTCATGAACTATTTGGCTACTCCATTAGCTCTGAAATGTGGGTGGAAGATGCAGCCAGCCAGGTTTTCAGTCATCCTTTTCCAAAAACCCTTCCAGGCAACCCAGCGATGGCAGCACACTGTGCTGCATGATGGAGAACCAGTGCGCTCTGCAATAACTTTAGGTGCCACTTCCGCTGAGCAGCATTTAGTACCTCCACACCGCTGCACGGTCCGCAAAGGATATACCACGTTGTGAGGTGCAGATCCCAGAGGGCCTGCTAGCCAGTGAAGGTGGGAGGGAGCTGCTGTCTGAATAGGTGAAATGTGTTAACCCCTGTAATTGCTGGCAGGTTCATAGAGCTCTCAGGTGTCAAAGCCTTTGTGAAACGTACCAGGATGCCATTCCTAGTGAGGTGAAACAGGCCCTTCAGACGCTTCCCGTCAGCCCTTTACGCACTTGCTAAGGGAATGAAGGGGCCAGCTGACTGACCGCTGCTCAGGAAGCACTGGAAGAGGCTCCCCATCCTGTCTCCATGTCTCTGCTCTCGTCTTGCCCTTTCCTGGTGCTGAAGAGTGAGCTCTGTCTGATCCGTTTTTCCATTAGTCTTGTAAACAGCTGCTTTCCGAATGTTCAGCCTTAGTAAAACTAGACCTCAGAACAGTGTCCTCTGCTAAACAGAATGTGCTTGATTGCAGAGAGCAGTAATGGTCTAGTATTCCTCTTCAGTAAAACCCCAGCGGGAAATGTGCTCTCGTGGGGCTTGTCTACACGGCCACTTTACAGTGCTGCAACTTTCTCACTCAGGGGTGTGAAAAAACACCCCCTCCCCCCCCCCCCCGACGTGCTCCCAAGTTTCAGCGCTGTAAAGTGCCAGTGTAGACAGTGCACCAGTGCTGGGAGCTATTCCCCTCATGGAGGTGAGTTTATTTATAGTGCTGGGAGAGCTCTCTGCCACAACTACACAGCCATGTGAAAGCGCTGCCGCGGCAGTACTTTAACGTTGCTAGTGAAGACCTGCCCTTAATCTTCCTAGCCTCTCAGCTCCAGGTCTTGTTGAGGCTGGTCTTTGCTTCATTGTTAGTTTGAGGTATAACTCAAACTATGCCTCTAACCCAGGGGTCTCAAACTCAAATGACCATGAGGGCCACATGAGGACTAGTAGATTGGCCTGAGGGCCGCATTACTGACACCTCCCTCCCGCCGCCCTCGGCCCCACCCCCACTCCACCCCTTCCATGAGGCCCCGCCCCTGCCTGGCCTCTTCCTACCCCTTCCCTTCCCCGAAATCCCCACCCCAACTCTGCCCCCTCCCTGCCCCCAGGGGGTGCATGGCGGGGGCTCAGGGCAGGGAGTTGGGGTGTGGGGTGCAGGAGGGGTGAGGGGTGTGGCAGGGGTGCAGGGTGCAGCAGGGGGCTCAGGGCAGTGGGTCGGGGTGCAAGAGGAGTGCGGGGTGCGGCAGGGGGTCAGGGTGCAGGGTGCGGCAGGGGGTCAGGGTGCAGGGTGCAGCACAGGGGGGTCAGGGTGCAGGGTGCAGCAGGGGGTCGGGGTGCAAGAGGGGTGCGGCATAGGGCTCAGGACAGTGGGTTGGGATGCAGGAGGGGTGCGGGGTGAGGCAGGGGGTTCAGGTCGGGGTGCGGCAGGGGGTTTGGCTGCAGGAGAGGTTCGGGGGGCAGGATCTGGCCCAGCGCGTACCGGGAAGAGGCTGGAATGTGGGGAAGGGGGGCGGAGGGGCTGTGTGTTGCTGTTGCTTCAGGCACTGCCCCAGCAGCTCCCATTGGCCGCGGTTCCCCGTTCCCAGCCAATGGGAGCTGCTGGGGGCGCTGCCTGAAGCAACAGCAACACACACCCCTCTGCCCTCCCCCCTATTCCCCATGTTCCAGTCTCTTCCCAGAGCGGCGCGGGGCAGGGCAGGCGGGCAGGGAGCCTGCCGTGCCCCTGGTGCAGGTCCAGCCGGAGCCGCTCTAGGTAAACACTGGGGGAGGGCGGGGGGGCTGCGAGGGGCTTGCGGGCCGCGTGTTTGAGACCCCTGCTCTAACCCATCTCCCGTCCATCCACAAACACATCTGTAGCTTGTATTAAGTGGTGCTTTAAGCTTGAGCTAGCTGGCCCATCCCAAGGTGAAGATGTGTGCTGAAGTTTGCTGCTGATCCTTGAGTTACTAAAGTGATCGGGATGCAGTAGTTTGTTACTCCCAGGGGCTAATCTAATCACACTGTGTAGCTGGAGTGTTTTGCAGAGTGGTCACTTTCACTGTGCCCTCACTCCAGTGGGTTAGCTTGTTAGGACACTTGCGTTAAGTGTCGCAGTGAAGACACACCCTTAGAATGTCTTACTTTCAAATGAAGGAGCTGTTGGTGCAATGGAAGACTGTACACTTAATCAGAAAGTCAGTACAAAGCTGACAGCCGTTGTGCAAGCTTCCAGTGCAGCCTTAGCGTTTGCATTTCTGACCCAAAAGGATTCTGCTCCTTCAGGGAAGGGTCTGCAAATGACAGCCTTGTAGAAGAGCTGATCTGCGCCTGTCTGATTCGTTCTACAGTTAGACTGGTGAGTGGGTGAGGATGGGGAAGGAGGCTAATTAATCTGCATTTCCATTTTTGACGCTTAGAGAACAATTTTATAGGGTGAAACCTCACTGTCCTCTTCCTCTGTCTCCAGGTCTCCAGTATAAAGAATGAGGATATAAAGGTTCGTCAAGACAATGTAACCAAGTTACTGACTGATGTCCAGATGATGAAAGGAAAGCAAGAGAGCATGGATTCCAAACTGATAGCGATGAAACAGTACGTATATGGGGAGGGCAGGAGATGGGGAATAATGTGCTTAATCTGACTTCCCTCTGAAAGTATTGTGTTCAAGACCTCCTCTGGGCCGAGTCTAACTGCTTTGCATTGCTCTCTGCTCGCTTATATTTGCCACAATCCCAGTGGTCTCAGGAGTGTAACCTGTGCTTTAAGAGGCTCTCTCTCCAGGGAAAGGAGGAGCTGGGGTTTGGGAGAGCTTCTGAACACCACTAAATCCTCTGAAAGACCTTGGTATCCTAGTGACCAACCCTGCAATCCTAGACCGAGTAAGGCTGTACTAATTTCCCTCTATAATCCAGAATGGCCTTAGATGTCAGCTGGAGGGGCAGCTAAGAACAGAGTGATGTCTCCCTCCTCGATGGTGTCTCAACCAGATGTCTGATTCTCTGCGTGGGGCTGGGTTCTGTCTCTTGAGTCTCTTCCATCAAAATGTGAATGTTCTGTTCTCCATGTTCTTACTCCAAGCCCATCACCTTGGTGTTCAAGTGACGGAATAATTCCTACCCCTTTGTGCTAAAATTGCTGTCTTCGAGCCCATATTACATGCACAATTTAAATCTCCATTTTGTTGCCAGCAACCCAATACTTTTCCTTTTGGTTGGGAGCATAGGGCATGTGATCTTGTCTAGTCACCATTAACGCTCTTTGGTGAGTCAACCTTTGGGGATCATCACAGAGCACTGTTGATCACCCCTTTACTGAGACCAAGCCTGTCTCCCGTCCCACACAGATCAGATCAGAATTCAGAGGTCTGTGACCTATGCACATTGGGGTCTGAAATCCAGGCAGCAGCGGCTGGTTTTCCTGCCCAATAGCAGGATTTGTTTTAAAGTTAGGCACCCAATTTCCATTAATTTTAATGGGAAATGGACATTCCGATCCCTTAGGAAGATTTGCAGATCTCGGCTGGGTGGAATAAGTCATCTCCCACATGAAATTTGCCTCAAGATGAGTGATAGCAAATGTCCAAGGTTTTTGCCTTGTTTTGAAGAACCTTCCACCAGCGTTCCTAAGTGACCTGCTGTGGCTTACGAACTGGGGAGGATGCTGTCAAGTGCAGCTCTAGCCTTCAGCTCGCTGGCTGAACAGAGCAGACAGGCTGGATGGGTACCTGGAAGTGTGCGTGCCTGATGGGGAGTACATCTTCCACACTGCCTTCTGAGAGCTCCCTTCTCCTGGATTTCACTGGTACCCCTTGTACTTACAGCTCACTTCTGCAGTGCTGGTCACATGCATGGGAGTGGGAGAGAACCTGCTTTGTCTCCAGGTTCGAGGTGATTCTCTTGATCTTTTTTACCTGCCCCTGGGTCACAGTGCCCAGCCCCTGCTGTATGAAATGCAGTTCTCTTCAGGCTCTTCGTTGCCGGTGAGGAAGAAAAGTAGTTCTTCCTCTCCTCTCCAATAAGCAACGGTATCGTGTAAAATACCCCTGCATGAGGAGGAGTATATCTGCTCTTCCTATGCTCTGGTACGTGGGGGAGCAATTGTTTCCTTTTGCCTTCAGGCAAACCAAGTGATTGGTCCAGCACCACTCTGAATGAAAAACTCTGTTCTGCAGTAAGCGTTTAAGATGACCAAGAGTTATTTTGATACAGCACGTTGCAGCAAGTTTGGAGCCTGCTGGGGAGGTTTTTGCTCATTAGAGAGGACGTCTTTGACATTCATCTAAAACATTCAAGTTCTAGCCGATGACTTGTCAGTCATGGAACCTGTGTTAAATCTGTTAGAGGATAAACCTGTGTTTCTGAGATGGGAGTTAATTTTTTATCCCGCTTTTCCTGGAAAATTAGTCAGTTGCCTAAAACGATCTCAGGCTGCTGCTTGCTCTGATGCAGACTGGGAGTTTTCAGCATGGAAAAGAGACGACTAAGGGGGGATATGCTAGAGGTCTATAAAATCATGACTGGAGTGGAGAAAGTAAATAAGGACGTGTTATTTACTCCTCATAACACACGAACAAGGGGTCACCAAGTGACATGAATGGGCAGCAGGTTTAGAACAAACAAAAGGAAGTATTTCTTCACACAGTCAACCTGTAGAACTCCTCGACAGAGGATGTTGTGAATGCCAAGACCATAACAGGGTTCAGAAAAGAACTAGATAAGCTCCTGGAGGATGGGCAGGGATGGTGTCCCTAGCCTCTGTTTGCCAGAAGCTGGGAATGAGTGATGGGATGGATCACTTGATGGTTCTGTTTATTCCCTCGGGGGCACCTGGGAAGACAGGATACTGGGCTAGATGGACCTTTGGTCTGACCCAGTCTGGCCGCTCTTATGGTTCTGGCAGTTCTAGACCCAGCTGCTCTGTGTCACTTGGCCCAAGTAGAAAGCACTGTCCTTCCAGCACAGTTGATTCCTTTTTACTCTATACGTAGGGAATAAAGAGCTTAAGAGAGCTTGCAGCAGCCAACCTGGATCCCATTGGTCAGTCTTACAGTCCTTCATTGCTCCTAAGATGTATTTCTGTCACTCCTATTTATTCGTATGCATACACACAGCCACTGACGACGTGCTGGTATGGCAGCAACAGAAACTTAAGAAACCTGAAGAAGAGCCCAGTGTAAGCTCAAAAGCTGGTCTCTCTCACCGACAGAAGCTGGTCCAGTAAAAGATATCACCGCCTCCACCTTTTCTTAGCAATAGAAACTGGCACCTTGCTTCTTTAGAAAAGCAGCAGCCCCAATGCCATCTCTTTGGCGGATGACGGCTACTGTCCAACAGGTAACATGTCTGTACAGTGTCTAATGTAACGGGCCCCAGTCAGATTGGGGAGTTGTAGGTGCTGCTGTAATTATAAGTAACTCTTCCCTGGGGGCCAAAAAGGCACATCTAATTTGCATAAGAGTAATTTGCTGCAGAGTTCATCTTTACTAGATAGTAACAGGCCAGAGAGACTAGAGATCCCAGCATGCAATGCTTCTCTCTGTGGCTACTTCTTGGATCAAATGCAATGACGTAATGTCTGGGACCATACTCGTATATTAAAGATGAAGACATTCAAGTGGAATTGTAGATCTCTGTAGTCTGTACTGATACTACCCCACTACCCTGTGGGAATAGACTGAACATCATTGACTGTGAACTGAGTGCCTGTGTAAGCCACTAGATGGAGTGCATACAGCAGTGCTCTGGAGAGGAGATGGGTTCAGAGCAGCATTGTTTCCCCTGCAAATGGGAAGAGAATTATTGACCCAGAAATACAAAATGTATGTTGTACTTTGTGTAATAAACTAGCAAGGCGCCTCTCATAGAACTAAGTTTCAAACAAGCACTTAGGCGTTCAGTAGAGAAATGGTACAATTGCTTTGGCAGGCCGTGCTCCCTGTGGAGGAGCATGGTCCATGGCATTCAGATGAAGGCTGGCTATAAGCCACTTCTCCATGACAAGGGACTTTTGTGATGACTCTTCCAACCACCTTACCCCTGTCCAACTTCTAGATCTTCCCAGCCTCCTGCAGGTTCCCTGTCTGATAAATACAGCTGCTTGCCTCCGCTCTTACCTCCCTCTATAGCACCTACTCATCCTTATCCTTGGATTGCCACCCTTTCGTTCTGTCTCCAGCTTCCCTTTCCTTAGCAGGGTTCTGAAGACAATCTCCTCTTGCCTGTCTACACATCCCTCCCAGAGCATACTTCATGTTAACCTCGGCCCTGTGGCTGCTGATCTGCATTTGGCCTCTGAACCCAGCTCTGTTCTCATCCTACCTGGCATCCGTGTAGCTTTTGCTATTCTTGATCTCTCCGTTTTAATATTTTCTCCAGTCCCCTCCCCTGGTTTGAACCCTAACTCTTACCGCTCCTTTTTCATTCAGGTGGTGACGTTACATCTTATCTCCTCTGCTGTGGGATCTCTCCAGCCTTTGTCCTTGCTCTCCTTCTCCCTCTGTCTCTGAGATGTCTATTGCAAGCGTCACTTCTAAAACTTCATATAGAGCTTATGTATATTTTAAGATCTTTCAGTTCCAACTACTGTTCCCTTTAATCTCTACAGGGGCTGTTACAGACAACAGTCAGGTCTTTATTCAAGTGTTGGAATCCTGCCTTAGCGGGACCAGAGGATGAGCAGAGAATTGTATTGCTGTGTAGGAATAATGGGGTTTAGTCTTAGTATGCAAGTGTGAAATGTAGCTAAAATATGCAGGAGGCTGGCACCACTCTGTAGCTGTGGGGTGAAGGAGACCAGCCACCCGAAGAAATGAGAGCTGAAAAGATAAATGAGCAGACCAGGCATGGACTTCTCGAGCAGTTTCCAGCATTCTGGGACATGCTGATAATAGCTCTAAATAGGCCTCCCCCATTATTATGTATGGGCCAGTCATCTCGGGGCTCCTACTGCAAAGCTTGTAGGCACCCCGGCTGCTTCGCTTGACAGATAAGATGACCAGACCAGTGATGGCTTCCTGTTGTGATGTTACAGAAATAATCTGGAAGAACGAGTGTACATGGGAGTGGGAGAGACCATGCCTTACTCTGCAACAGTTTGGCTCATTCTCGCTAAAGATGAGTGTGATGGGTTCCCTCCAGGGTGCCACCTGGAACTGGGGTACCAGTGAGCCCACCCGCCTGGGCTCCCTTGACACTGTATTGCTGTGACAAGCTCTCTACAGGCTCCAGCCTGCTCTGTCACCAGCACCCATACAGGCAGGGACACAACCAGCTGCAGTTACATGCAGATGCTGTGATCAGCCCTGTATGGTAAGGCTCCAGCTAGGGAACTTTCCAGCCCCTCAGACACCCCCCCACCCCACCCCCGGAGTGTAAACCCAAAATTATACCGTCTTGCACTGCACAGGGAACTGTACACCGTCAGCTCATTAAATTGGCCCCCTCCCTAGATGATCCCAATAGTTCATGGTCCTTTCTGTGGAGAGAAATCTACAACTGCTTTCTACCGCAAGTTATGACCCCCACACCCACAGGTTTTAGACAAACCAAAACCAAGTTTATTAACTTCGTGATTTTTGTGACGATAAGGCATAG